GCTGTGCCAGGCAGGCCACGTTTAGAATACTGTGTTCCCTTCCCAGTGTCACATTTTAAAAAGGATGCTGTCTAACTGTCATGCATCTGAAGGAGCGTGGCCAGTCAGTAGGGCGTCTGGAAGTCCTGTGGCTGTTCACACTGAAAGAACTGGGCGTGTTTGTCATGCGACAGCAGTTTCAAGGAGAATGAGACAGTTCTTCTAATATCTGAAGAACTGTCAAATATGAAAGTGAGGAATTTTTTTTTTCATGGCACACAACCAAACTGTGTAAGATTTATTAATTTATTAAAGCATCTCCCCATGCCTGTGAGGATTACACTCCTGTCAGGATCTCAATTTCTATTGAGAAAATAAAAAGGGGGGCAACTGAAGAGTGAGAAACAAACGGGCCCACAAAACAATCTTATAAATATCAATTGATACCTGCATTTAAATATTTAAAAGATGTTAATTTTCTTTTCACAAAAAGTATGCCAAGGAATTTCTTTTGAGATGTCATTCTTTTATTTTATTTTTTAACATTTTTTTAAATTGAGTTATACTCATTTTAGAATGTTGTGTCAAATTCCAGTGTAGGGCACAATTTTTCAGTTATACGTGAACATATGTATATTTATTGTCACGGTTTTTTTTTGCTGCGAGCTACCATAATAAGATCTTGTATATATTTCCCTGTGTTATACCGAGGAAATTTTTTTTAATTTGAAAAAATACTTGATAGAGAAATGTGGGTGAGAGATGTATTCAGGTGCAAGGGAGGTCATAAGGGTTGAATATAAAAGTGACTAGAGGAGGGGAAAGGTGTAGCTCAAGTGGTAGAGCGCGTGCTTAGCACAGCCAAGGTCCTGGGTTCAATCCCCAGTACCTCTTTTAAAAATAAGTAACTAAATCTAATTGCCTCCCCCCCCGAAAAACTAAAAACAAAAAGTGACCAGGAAAGATGCAGGAAAAATGGATGTGGGGCGCGAGGGGGGCTGTGTCCCTGGTCTCCATGATTCCCCTGGGACAAGCCCCACCAGGTGTGGTTTCTTGGCTTCATGCAGGGAAGAACTCAAGAGCGAGCCACAGTTGAGTAAAGGTAGATTTATTTAGAGCTACACACTGCATAGAGTGCAAGGCAAGAGAAAGGCAAGGAAAGAGGTGTGGGAATTGGGTGCTCAGGGTAAAGTAAAAGTAGGTACACACTCCAGAGACAGAATGCGAGCCATCTCCGAAGGGGAGGGAGCGGAAAAAGGGTGGCCAGGGTGGTGTTGCCAGTTTTTATGGGCTCGGTAGCTTCGCACACCTACAGGTGGGACCATTCCAACTACCCTGGGGAAGGGGCTGGGATTCCCAGGAATTGGGCCACCACACATTCTCTGGCCTTCTGCGTTAGCCTTGGGGCTGTCACGGTGCCTGCAGGCATGTTATTTATCATGCAGTTACAATGAACATATAATGAAGCTCAAGGTCTACTAGAAGTCAAACCTCCCCCCAACTTAATCCTCAAGGCCAACTGGGAGTTGAATCTTCCACCATTTTAGTGTTAATTGCTGTCATTCCTTGAATGGCTGCGCCCTGCTCCCTTCCCTCCTGTCTCAAAATGAAGATAAAATACTGCAACCAGTATTGGGGATTTCCAGGTCAAGGGCAGGAGCTGAAGAAGCCATCAGGGGGTACATTTTCTGCAGGGTCATAAACCAGAAGCCAACCAGATCTTGAGAAAGCACTGTCTTGGTGGATTAAAAGCCAAACAGGAAATACTTTCATGCTGCAAAAGAGCTAAGCCAGAAGGTTCTCTCTCTTATCAGTGTCATCATCTTCATTTCAGTTTAGGTGTTCTGTTGGCTGAAGTCCAGAGTGTCCTTTCTGATTCCTGAAGTAGGTCCATAGCCCCACCCCAAGGAAGGGCAGACCCAGAACCAAGCCCCCAGTCCCACTCAGCATCTTGCTCTGAGCAGATTCAGACTGTGCCCCCTCAGGGGTGGGCATGTCCCTCCTTGGTGGGTGAGGAATTTACAAGGTCAGAAAGCTGCTCACTCCATTCCACTGGGACAGGGCTCAGCAGCTGGGGTACTCCACTTGGCAGGTGCAGACCTCCCCACTCTGAGGAACGGTTTCAAGCATCACCATGGCCTGGAAGGTCCAGTCTCCGTTAGGGACCAGGCCTGTGGAGACCACCCCAGCCTCCTCTTCCTGGCCATCCCGGAATCACTTGACTTCAATGTGGCCCGGGTAGAAACCATTCACAGAGCGGATCAGGAGGTTGTGGTGTTGCAGGGGCAGGGTTTTTGCAGGATACACAGTCACTGTAGGGTCAACTTGCCGCTGTACCATGAAACGCTCACCAATCCTAAGATGTGTCAGCACACCGTGTCCACCAGCACTCCCTCAACTCCAGGATGTCCTTCTGGCTGTTCTGAAACAGGAGGGAAGGGGGAAGGGCGCAGCCATTCAAGGAATGACAGCAATTAACACAAAAATGGTGGAAGATTCAACTCCCAGTTGGCCTTGAGGATTAAGTTGGGGGAGGTTTGACTTCTAGTAGACCTTGAGCTTCATTATATGCTCATTGTAACTGCATGATAAATAACATGCCTGCAGGCGCCATGACAATTCCAGGGCTAACTGCAAAAGGCCAAAAAAAGGGCAGTGGCCCAATTCCTGGGAATCCCAGCCCCTTCCCCAGGGTAGTTGGAACGGTCCGACCTGTAGATGTGTGAATCTACTGAGCCCATAAAAACTGGCAACACCACCCCTGGCAGCCCTTTTTCACTCCCTCCCCTTTGGAGATGGCTCGCATTCTGTCTCTGGAGTGTGTACCTACTTTTACTTTACCCTGAGCACCCAATTCCCACACCTCTTTCCTTGCCTTTCTCTTTTGCCTTACACTCTATGCAGTGTGTATCCCTCTAAATAAATCTACCTTTACTCAACTGTGGCTCGCTCTTGAGTTCTTTCCTGCAAGAAGCCAAGGACCCACACTTGGTGGGGCACGTCCCAGGGGCTCAACCGAGACCTGAGACATGGCCCTCCTCACACCCCTACATCCATTTCCCTGCATCAGTTCCAATACTTAAGCAATCAGCTGTCCCAGCTAGGTTATCATCCCGTATTCCCCCATGTCACTGTGGAAAGGCACATACTTCTCTCCATTATGGAAGTATCTGTCCGGGGTCACACCCACTCTGCCCAGTTGGAGAAATGACACTCGGACTTCCCCAGAAACAAGAAATGTGCTGTGAGAATATGAAGAAACCTGGTCACCTGGGCAGGCTCTTCAGAAGAGACTGAAGGCGACGCCCATCCATGCAGGTTGCTCGGGTGCTGCTGGGGGCACAGGGACCCCCCACCACCATTGATTCTACTGGCACCCCAACTACAAGCACCAGCACCCCCGCGGATTCATCTTTCATCTGCTGGTGGTGGAGGAAGGCCATCCTGGGGGACGAGACCCCTCTGAGCCTAAGCCATTTGGGATGCAGTCAGCTCTGTACTTGGCTGGCAACCTCCAAGCCAGAGCTGGACCAGGATTTGCCCCATCATCACCTCCTCCTGAATGCCTCCTCTAGAAAGACACTCCAAAGTGAGGATTCTCTTTTCATTCAGTTGTAGAAGGAAGGTTTAGGGAGGCAGATTTTTCCAGTAAATAAGGAAGACTCTTCCAACAATCCATACAGTCAAAAATGAAAACACTGTCTACAAGGGAGTGGGCACCAAATGGCACCTCCCAGGAGCGCTGGGGTAGGCGTTGCGCTGGGGAGGTAACCAAGCTGCCGCAAAGCTCCAATTCAGGACTCTGCTGTGGCCATGTCTGGTCTCTTCCAGGAATCTGCCTGAGATGCCTCCAAACTCACAGCCTCCTGGGGGCAGAAGAGGGTCAGATCCCATGATGCCTGCCTCTCCCTTCATGAGGGTATCTTCTTGGGGCCAGCTCGCCACAGAATCCTCCCTCCCATTTCCAAGCGTTCTTCAGCCTCTGGTCTTGCTTTGTTTTTCTTCCTAACGCCAGCCCTGATGATTACATTGTTACCTGGTGAGTCATTTCCTTCTTTTTGTCCCTTCTACTGGGGGCAGAGAGGATTTACTACTGCGGTCACTGGGGACAGACCAGTGTTCAGAGACCAGACCAATGCCTGGCAAACAGCAGGCCCATCATGCTTGTTCAATGAAGTAATTTTAATGGTTCTCAAAAGAAACAGCACAGGGCTCAAACAGCCTTGAAGGAAGGTATTTCAGCAATATTAAAAGTTAATTGTGAGGCATCCATTGACAGATGAATGGATAAACAAAATGTGCTATATGCATACAATGGAATATTATTCAGCCTTAAAAAGGAAGGAAATTCTGACACAGGCTGCAACTGTGGATGAACCTTCAGGACATAAGCCAGTTCCAAAAGGACAGGTACTATTTGATTCCACTTCCACCAGGTCTGCAGAAGAGTCAAATTCAGAGCAAGAAAGTAGAATGGTGGGTGGGAGGAGGATGGGAATTACTGTTTAATGAGCACAGAGTGTCAGTTTTAGGAGATGAAAAAGCTATGGAGATGCAAAATGTGCTTGATGCCACAGGGCTGTACACTTAAAATTGGTTAAGATGGTAAACTTTGTTATGTGTATTTTACCACAGTAAAAAAAATTAATTGTGGGTAATCGGGGGAATGTGGTATTTCCAAAAGAAGGGTAGAAAAAAAGTCGAGAATGACTTAAAGGCTGATAATAGCATTTGAAGATGCTAGCTGATCAGAGGAGGCTGCTTCATCTGGCTAGAGCTCAATAGCGACTTTGAGACTGTTTCAACAGGATGGTCCTCTCGGAAGAGGAAAGAGCAGGGAGGAAAGTGACTTGTTTGGTTCCCCGTGTTTTCCCTACAAGACCCCTCCCAGAAGCAGCCCACGGACACCGGGTCACCTCCGCGTGCCCCGCCTCCGCCCAGGCCCCGCCCCGAGCCCCGACCACGCCCTCCCCAGGCCCCACCTTCCGTCCCTCCTGGCTCCACTCCTCCTCCTGGCCCCGCCCACTTCCAGCCCCCGCCCCCCGCACCGCCCCGGCGCAGAGAGGTGGAAGAACCTGGGACTCCGCGGACGCCGCATTTAGAAAGGTGTGGAGGGGGCGGGGAGCGCAGGTCGCCCCTGGCTCGCCCTCCCTCCCCGCCCCGTCTCGCCCCGCCCTCGCCCC